TCCGTCCGTCCGTCCACCAGCTGAAGACCTTAGCCTGAGAGGTCCAAGAAGCTCTCAAAGGTCTCTGCCATTGGAGTTTAAATACAGGGGACTCAAGGAGTTTTTATTTTTTATTTTCCTCATGTTTTAAAGGAAAGAGAAAAGGAGGCGAATAAACACATGACAGAATGTTTGGAATTGTGAGAAAGCTTCTCCTAAGACTTGCTTTTGCTAGCGCCTAGGCCTCGATGGATTCATTTCATTTCCGAGACAAATACTAAAACTCCTTCCTGCAGGCTGAGAGGCACGGCCTGCGGACCCAGAGCCGCCCCGCCGGCCCAAGCAGCGCCTGTCTTGCTTTCCCTTGGGCGACACCTTCTGCTGCTGGCCCTGGAAGGACTTGGGGGTGAGAGTTAGCCCAGGACGCCCCTTAAGGTCTTCTGATCAGGGGCTACACCTACCGTCTCCTCCATTACCCCGGTCCAGATAGGGAAGCCGGGTGGCCCGGTGCGGATCCAGGCCTCGCCGAGAGAGCGCAGAGTCCGCCCTAGCTCGCAGGCGAGCAAGAGGGCCTCAGCTCGGCTGGTCTTTCCGGGCCCTCGATAGCCCCGGAGACCCAGCAAGGCTCGGGCGGGTAGGTAACCCGGCGGCTACCTGCCCTGCCCGGGGTGCAGCTCCCAGGGCGGGGCGATGCGGCTCCCGGTCGGCCAGACGCAGGTCCTTTCTCTTGGAAAACGAAAACCCAGGTTGCAGGGGTTCCGTGAGCAGCTGCTCCCCTTCCCCTTTCCTCCCCAAGGCCGACCTCCCCCAGCGTTGATTCCCACCTGGCGCCACCCTGCGCTTGGAAAGCCGAAAGTGGGGGCGGGAGGTGGTAAAGACCTGGGGAAAGGGCTCCCCAAAATGAGAGAGGTCCGGAGACCCAGAAGCCTATCGGTCTCGAAAAGGGTTGCAAAGCAATTAATTGCAAGGAGGGGCTCCCGGGAGGAAAACAGAAGCTGGGGAGACCCCCGCGGGGGGGTGTCTCCCGTGAGCGGGGAGGGGCGATCTTCTCTCCCGCCGCCCGGGTGTGTTTTTACACATTGTCCCGGCAGCCGCTTCGAGTCCAGAACTTCGAGTCCATTCCGCCCGCACTGTGGACGCCGCTCATTCCCGCGCGTCCCGCCTGTGAGCCACAGCGCAGGGGGCGGGGAGGAGGGGACACTGGCTTTTGAAATTGCTCTTCTTTAGACGGTAAACTAAGAGTTCCCCGAGAGCCAGAGTCCGGTCTCCGGGTACCTGGAGCGTGGGGTGGGGGCCGCTGTAATTACCTCTGAGCCGGTGGGGGTGGGGCCGGGGTTCTCTCTGTTCCGCCCCGCTGGGGTGCGGGGCGCGTTATTAAACCCAGACGCCCGTCCGGGAGTTGGGGCCATGCGGAAAAGATTTACAATTAAGCCAATCGGGGCCGAATGCGGCCACCCAACTTTGCAGGTGTAAATAATACCTCGTTCTTTCTTTCCTCTTCCAAGCGACTTTGCCTCCCACCCCTCCCCACCTCCTAGGACCCTAGGGAGAAGAGAGGAGTAAGGACCACGCAGCAGTCAGGGTTCTTCCGTCGGACAACTTAAAATATGACGTTGCGTTCACTTTTACGCTCGCCTGTGAGTGCTGTGAGCGAATCTAGACTTTAGAATTACTGGAGCCAAGGAAAGGCCCTTTTTACTGTAGGGTAGGATTTGTTTGAGAGATAGCGACAATACTTTATGTAACTTGGAATTGAACTGTACAGTTTCGCAGTGGGAGACGCTGGGTGGGAGCGGGTTATGGGGCCAAAGGGATCCCCTTGGCTGGACCGTGGGAGACCCGCTCCAGTCTGGACGAGGAGAGGCGCACTGCGGCGCTGCCTAGAGCCGACCCCTTCCGTAGGAGCCTCAGCCTGGCCTCTCTGGTGCTCGGCGGGCTCGCTGAGCTGTGCACGGTTGCGACCTTAAGCTGCTATTGCATTGCATTATTTAAATATAAGAGAATCTGCCCTCGAGCTTCTAAAATGTTCTTTGTGGGTGTGAGTGTGTACACACGGCTGTTCCAAGCGGCCCAGCATATGAAGTTAAATCTTGGATTTAAAGATGCATCGCTCACACCCCATGGGCAGACTCCTATTTGATCGATACAGAGTTCAATTTATTTTTCAGCTACACAGTTACCCCTTTTCTCCTGGAGCAATAAAGTCTGTCTGTTACAAATTACCAAGGGATTGGCGAATAGGCCCCTCCTCGCCGTTGTTCCACGTTTCCAGTCTCCCACTAACCGGCTCAGTAATATATGTAATATGTGTGTACACAGGCGCTTCTCCAAAAAATTAGCGATAACATTCCGGGTGTATGAAGAATGGCATTTTCCCTCTCTTTGCATACAGGATTCCGTGCACAGCCGGTTACTACTCCCAGCGGCACCGGGACTGACACCCGACCAGCCGAGCCTGGGAGGAAGTTTCCCAGTCCGCGATGCATGTAAGGGCAGGGAGTCAAGGCGCCTGACTCCAGCCCGGATAAGGTCAGAGGTGTAGCCTCAGAAAGGCAGGAACTAACATGTCCTCTGCGGCGCAGGGAGACTCAAACGTGACCCAGTCCAGGCTGAACCCTCGGAGCCTCCGGCCACGGGGAAGTTTCCAAGAAGGCTGTGGTGGCGCAAACCCCTCTCTTTTCCCTCCTTTTCAGCTTGGCCTGTCCAGTGCAGATGTTGTGCATAAATAAAAGGGGGAACTTGAACGCTAGGTGACCCCGATTCCGTCTTCCGCGGAGAGGGGGGCAGGCGAGGAGGGGCAGAGACGGAGGCGTCCTGATGGAGTTGGGAACTTGGAGACCTGCGCTCTGGCTTGGGGACAGGCGCGCCCGAGCTTCGAGGAAGGTGCCCTCGCCGCTTCGCCGCTGGATGGCGCTCGGGGAGACGTGGCTGGCGGGCAGCCATCCCCCGGGTGTCCGTAGGGCCCGAGAGCGTCTGCGGCGCCACGGGGCACGGAGCCTCAGTCTTGAGCCTCTGAGGTCCCCGTGCTCTACACACCGAGAAACACAAGCCTTTCTCGGAGGCTGGGTCCGGAGAGGGTCACTTGCAGCGGGGCTAAGTCTGGAAAAGGGGACAAGGACTCTGGTGGGACCAGGGATGGAGAAGAGAGGCTTACGGGGCAAATTGATTCTTGGTGTCTAAGAATCCGCCCGCAGTAGCTCCTGTGTGCCGAGTACAGAGAGAGAGAGAGAGAGAGTGTGTGTGTGTGTGTGTGTGTGTGTGTGTGTGTGTGTGCGGGCACACTCACGTGTGCGTTGAGCCACAGGGGAGAGGTGTCAGGAAAGGAAGACAGGTGTGCAGATGCATAGCACACAGGGTCCTCTGTACCTCCCGCACTGCACCCCTTCATGCAAAGACCAAGCCAGCTGCCTGCGGAGCCCCAGTGGCTGCTTGGAATTCGGGGTGGCCGGCCTACCCCAGGGGTTGATCTGAATTTGACCCAGAATTGGCAACCATGGGGCTGAGACACATTCCTGTCTCATGACTTTGTACTAATACAGCTTGCATGTCGGTCACTCCAGCACTCAAGAGGCTGAGGCAGGAGGATTACCAGGAGTTCGAAGCCACCTTGGGCTACACAGCCAACCTGAACTACATTGCAAGACCCTGTCTCAAAAAACCCAAAAATAATAACCCAAAAGTCCTAAAAATAATAAAAGTCTAGGGCCCCTTGGAGATGGGGCAGGGGTTGTTACCAGTGGTGCTTGTGGTCATGGGAAAAAGGCTGGCTTGAACCTCGGGACAAATAAGTCCATCCCACAGTTGATGGGTTTGTGCCATGTACTACCAGGCACTCTTTAGGGCTTAGGATCTTGTCAAAAGTTACTCACAGAGCTGGGCATGAGGGTTACAGGAAGGCACTAGGGGCACAGGTTGGGGAGGAGAGCCTGTGTCAGTTTCCTGGGGCTCACTTCTGGACTCCATGCTTCGTGACTGTCAGGTGTCCTGTAGGCAATCGTCCTTCTCAAGAAGATGGGACATTCTCCCTGCTTTTGCAAACCATTGACCACACCCAAAATGCATTTTAAAAAGCCAATATCAAACTTGTGAGCAGCTCCTTCCCTCAAGCAGAATCCGTGTGTAGAATCAGAGGGGGGCGGGGGGGTGCACAACCCTGTGTGAGACAGCGGTGTGAAGCCAAGCTTGGTGCCAGGGATGGAAAAATGCACTTGACGGGCCGATGCTGAGAAGCAGACACTGGGTTACGTGCTGGAGACAACAGGCGGGAGCAAGGGCTCCTCCATCTCAGCGTTTCCTGCCCGCAGTTGTATTTCCTCCAGTTTTTTAAAAAAGAGAGCATTCCCATTTTCAAGGGGCCCAGGAGGGGTGGGGTGGGAGAGGGCTCCCTTTCAAGGTCCCAGTCCTGAGAGCTCACGGTGGAGAGTGGGCTGGGTGCTCCCGTCGCTGAGAGCCCTGTAGGTGCCTTTCTCTGGCTGACCAGGTCAGCACGGGAGACTTTCCCAAAGTGCTATCCTCTGGACGGTCCAGCTCCAGCGCCCCACTGAGCACAAGTACCCTGCACCTACTTAGTTTCCAGTACTGCGTCTCTTCATAAACAGGAAAACTGCGGAGCAAATAGCTAAGGTGTCTCCCCAAATACCCGGGCCCAACAGGGACACCAAAAGCCTTTCTGTAACCACCCTCCCCCAGTTCTGTGCTTCCAATCAGCCCCCTCTTCAGCTCTCCACTGTCCCCCAAATCTCTGGCACGTGCAGAGTGAAAGTCATGTGTTTGCTGATTGAATAAGTGAATTCTTATTTGATTTCTGTTTTACACAACAGAATTAGAAATAAATCAGCAACAGGATAAGGCAGCATGGAGGGAGAAGATTGTGATTTCCTTTCGTGTGCGGTTTTTGTCCTAGACTTCCTTCAGTTGATCGATGAAGGACACAAGCCAGCCCACCCTGAGGTCAACAGGATCGATGAGGCCCTCCAGGCCGGCCTCGCTCACTCAGAAATGGAGAAGAGGTTGCTCACCGGTCCCACCCAAAGATTTGGGGATTTTGGCTTTCTCTGCAAGGCCATCTGTGGTTCCTGAACTTAAGAAAGGAAGGGGGTTAGGGTGACGGGAAAGTGGGGAGCTGGGGCTTCGAGAGCAGCTTTCCCACCATCTAGAGGGTGTCGCCTAACCTCCAGGCTGGATCTCGTTCTTGAACTGCTCACCTGGGAGTCAGATGCGGGATCACCACACTCTGAGCCTCCGTCCTTTGCCCGGACTCCACATCTGAGAAATGGGTTTGTTAAGAGTATTTCCCAGTCCCCAAGAGCACGACACTGTCCGGTCAGCCAGGACAGTAATCCGAGGGGTCAGGCATCATCTTCTCTGTGATGGCCTTTTTTTTTTTTTTTTTTTTTTAGGTGACAAAACCCCAGAGACGGAGACTTGGCTCAGGGTTACACAGCAGCTGACCACAGGACCAGGGCTGTAAAAGTCAGCGCTCACAGTAGGTTCACAGGAATGACCTGTTTTCTTTGCGGCTTTGTCCTGGGCGGTCGGGTCAGGGGGTCCATTTACCCCTTTCCCGGGCAGATCTGGAAACCGTTTTGTTCTTTGGCTTCTTGCTCTCCAATAAAGGCAACTGGTGGGTGGGTGGGGGTGAGGTCCTGGGGAAAGTGCGTGTGCGTGTGTGCGTGCGTGTGTGTGCGCGTGTGTGTGCGCGTGTGTGGAATCGATGCGGCCCAGACAGACCTTCACAAAGGGGCTGCAGGCAGGCGCCTCTGCTGCCCAGCCTCCGCCCCACCGCCCGCGGCGAATTAATTGAGCCCTGAAAGCTGGGGACGTTTAGCTTCCAGTTAATTAGTGAAAAAATGAATCAAGGCCCAGCGGCCTTGCACGCCCTTCGCAGCCTCCCCGGCGGGGCGCTCCCAGCCCGCGCTTCCCTCCGACGTCCCTGTCTCTCCTTCCGTCCCTTTCGACCTTGACCGTCCGCCCTTTCTGAGTCTTTTTGGGTCTCTCGCTTTGATCCCTGGACTTGGTGGTAGTTTCCTGTCCTCCTGGACGCCCTTCTCCAAAGCCTCCTCCCGGGTGCCCGCTCGGCCAGGCAGCATCCGGGACATCGACGCTGGGGACGCCGGGGATCCCAGGGCCCGGGGTGCAGAGGGCACGGAGCACCTGTTTGGGGACCTGGAGACCTCTCCAGCCTGGGGTGGCTTTGGGCGGGGCCCTCGGCTGAAGTAAGGGGAGCCCTCAGGCGAAGCACGGTGTTGCTGGGTGGACTCGGTAATCGGTATGCTGAGTGCTCCCCTTGAGCTCCGAGAACTAAGGAGACCCACAACACAAATTATTAAGCACCTGCTGTGTTCCCACGGTGTTACAGTTCCTTCCACTGCACCTCAGTCGCTTCCCGCTATCCCAGCCAGTGAAGATCCAGAGGGTTTAGTTTGTGGAGGCCCTGCATCGGCTGGTTTCCCCCAAACTACAGGTTCAGGGGACCCATGTTTTCCTGCCCTGGGCCTCCACCAAATCTTGAGGGACAGCGTGAGGGTCCCTAATCGCTCAGGCTGACCAACCTCTCTCACCAGTTGTTCGGATCTCTGCTCTCTTTCCCTGAACGCATATGGAATTCAGACTCCAAAGCTGAGGTCAGAATCTCCCCGTAGCTGCCCCACCTCACTGCTGTGCAGCAGCCAGCTGGGGCCAGCAGGATCCAAGCTGCAGAAGCAGCCCTCGGACGGTTCCTTGCCCTCTGCCCTGCCCACCACAGCCCTCCCAAGCCCCATTCCTGAGGTGCGGGCAGAGACCCCAGCGGATGCCTGGATGCCTCAGCGATGCCTGCGTCCTAAACAGTAGCAGCCAAGAGGCTGCTTGTCAGGGCCCAGTGGTGCCCACAACGCATTGGCTTTTCTTCCCTCCGATGGGAGGAGGCCTGGTGGGGCGCTGCGGTTGCTGTTCACTGCAGCCCTGCCTGGGGCCTGGTGAGCTTCCCACACTGCAGCCCAGTGCTTTGAGCCTCTGTTTCCCCACTGTTTTCAGATTAGGGAAGCAGCAGACACACAAGCTGGGGATGAGGAGCTTTGCCCGATGGCTTGGTGGGTAGCAGGGCCCGAGCTTTGTGTGTCCTGGAGACACACGAGTGTGGCTGCCTGCTTATCTGTCTCTCAGGGCAGGAAGGAGCCCTGTGGTGGCTCGCTTTCTACCCCAACAGCTGTGCTCTGTGGCCCTGTCCTCCCTAAGGGGGACCACAGGCCAGGGGCCTCAGCGGTGGCCTGGTGGCCTGTGGTGCGGATCTGCCAGGTGTCAGCCCGCAGGTGCACTCAGGTGTGAGCAAAAGTGCTCCTGTGTGCCTGTCTCCTTCACCGTGATCACTGCTAGTAAGGGTGCACCTGCATACCCAATGCATGGGCTGCAACGAAACAGCCTAAACCTAGGAGATGGCAGGTGAGAGCCTTGGAACTTTGTTTTCTGTTTGTTTTGTGACAAGGTCTCACTATGTAGTTTGGGCTGGTCTTCAACACACTGTGTAGTCCAGGCTGGCCTCAAATTCTAGGAAATCCTCCTGCCTCAGCCTCTCTTTTGCTGGGAGTACAGGTGTGCATGTACTGCCATGCTCAACAGAGCCTAGAAATTTTGGGTAGATCCGTAGCCTCTCTGAGCCTCAGTTCCCTTTTCTGAAAAATGGAATGACAAGCCCAGCCCTGTGGCCACTGCAAGAAGGCGGTGAGGTCATGCATAAGTGCTCTCCTGAGTCTGTGCTCAGGAACCTCTGGGCGTTTGGGTGTGGTCGGTGGTGTCCAGTGCTTGGGGCTTGGGTCTCTTTGATTTGGGGAGGTTTACAGAAGGAGCTCTCTTGCATCACATACACCTTCTGCAGACAGCCCGCAGGTAACTGGACACCACACCTCTGCGCACCCGCAGCTCCTTGGGATGGTGACCCAACTCGGGAGATGCGTGACCGACATGCCTGTGTGTGGTGTCACACAGGTGCTCAGGACGTTTCAGACTTCGGAGGCTTAGAGTGTGTGTGCGCGTGTGTGTGCGTGCACGTGTAGAAAGATGCAGTATAATACAGAGTGGGCACACAGACACACACACACACACACACACACACACGCACTCACACTTTCTTACAAAACTGCTGTGCACATATTTAGCCCTCTGTGGGCCAATGTCCCGAATCCCATGATCTCAGAAACTGCTAGGGGCCCCAAGGATTGAGTGCTCCCTCCCTCTTGAGACCAGGTGTCCTGACTGAGCTGCAGCCCTCTTAAGCAGGCTCACTCTCTGTCTCCCAGGTCCCCTGAATGAAGGGAAATAAATAACCAGGCCTTTGAGAGGAAAGAACTGTGGAGACCAGGTTCACCTGTGGGTCCTTCGTGCACCCTCCCCCCATGGACGAGGGGCTTCCGGCTCCCGAGCAGGCCTCTTGGTTCCCAGTGCGGTGAGGTCCATGGGTTTCCCACTCCCAGGGCTGGACTCAGCTGGCCAACTCCTATTAGGCAGCAGGAGCCCACTGTCCCTTCCCCAGGCCCACTGGCCACTCCAGGTCCTTGGGGGTGAGAGCGGCTGATCCCGCCTCCTCCGCGGAGAGCTGGGGGGGTTTGTGGGGAAGGTGAGAGGTGAGAAAGACAGGCAGACGGGGAGAAGAAAGCAGACAGTGTCAGGGAAAAGGAAGACAGAGGGGTGAGAGGGAGGAAGGAGAGAGCGGGGAGACAGAGGCCCACAGAGACCGGGAGAGGAGGAGAGAGGGACAGACACAGGGACAAAGACAGAGAGAGCGAAAGAAAGAGACAGAGGTATAGCTGCGTCTGGAGGTGCACGCCTGTAATCCCAGCACTGTGGGAGGCTGAGGCAGGAAGATCACAGTTCAAGCCCAGCCCAGGTAACATAGCAACATAGTAAGACCCTCTCTCAAAATAAAACATGAGAAAAAGGCTGGGGATGTGGCTCAGTGTGAAAGCCCTGGGTTTGAAAGCCCAGGGTTCAATCCCCAGTGCCACAAAAAACAAAGAAGAGAGAGCTCTAAGGGCAAGTAAGGGCAGAGAAAGTGGGGCATAAGGCACCCAGGGAAAGGCTTGGCCAAAACGAAACAGAAAAAGGCCCCAGGCTGTACCTAACCCTGCCTGAGGCCTCTGCCCAGGCTATCCAATGCGTTACTTAACCTATGCAGATTACCTGGCCTGGTATAAATGCCTCCTTTAAAGTCAGGATTGAACCTCTCAGCCTCTTGCTCCTGGGGCAGCCTCTAGCCCTGGGGGAATGTGTTTTGCAAAACCACATGAAGCATCAGATCCCAGCAACTGAGGAGAAGAGCCATCTTTTATTAGGGGTTTGCAGGGGATCCCTGCAGGGCCTCTGAAGGAAGGAGTGCTGGCTCCTTCGCGCTCCACTCGTTTCTCTTGCCATTGGCTTCCTAGTGAAGCCCTTCTCTACTCCCCCAGCACCTCCACACAGACCCACTAGGAAGGTCTACTAGGGGGAGCGGGGTTGACCCGGAAGGAGAAACAGAATTTCCCCTCGTGGTCCTCCATATTCCCAGAGTGCATTGGGCCAGGTGGGAGGGGCCACCAATTTCCTAAATGCCGAGCTAGAGAGTGAGGGGTGTGTGTATGGGGGGCGGATCCCAGCCCATCACTTTGGGAAAGCATATCTATATTTAACCAGGCAGAGAGGCAGTGAAAGATGAAGGTTTAGGTCCTAGAGCTGCTTGGTCCAAGTGAGGTTGCCCTCAGCTCAAAACCTCGGGACTACTTCAAATAAACCACAACTGGCAGTGTCTCCCTCCACCCCCACCCACGCCGGCCCCCCACTCAGCGCACGCACGCAGTCTGCCGGATAGGTATTTTAAAAGGGACGTCTTAATGGTAGCAAAGCAAAGCATTTCTTTTCCTTTTCTTCTCTGTTGTTGCAAAAGACTTCTGTTTGTTTTGCTTTAGCAAACAGCTGGTACTTTGTTATAAAAGAGTACTAAAAAAAAAAAAAAGAAAAAGAAAAATGCACCGAGAGAGCAGGCAGGCTCGACGCTGAGAATACACATCCGTGTGGATGTGTGCGTGCACACGTTTGTGCGTGTGTGTGTGTGTGTGTGTGTGTGTGTGTGAGAAGTGGGGCCTGCTTCAGGTGCAGAGACCTGGGAAGGGCCGGGCAGGAATGCATTGAGAGATTTACACCTGTCTCTACAGCTGCTGCCACCACGCTTTGGGCTGCCGGCTGCCTCTCCCCTGTCCTGCAGCCCAGCTCCTGCCCGCCCCGCCGGCCAGACGGGTGGAGACTGATAACACCCAGACGCCTCTGGAATCCGCTTGGCCCTCGTGGGCCAGGGGCAGCGCGCCCGCCCTGAGTTTCGTTGCCACCTCTGCGAGCCTGATGAAAGCCCCACTCATCCCAGCCCTTCAGGACGGGGACCCTGGCTGCCTCTCCCCTGTCCTGCAGCCCAGCTCCTGCCCGCCCCGCCGGCCAGACGGGTGGAGACTGATAACACCCAGACGCCTCTGGAATCCGCTTGGCCCTCGTGGGCCAGGGGCAGCGCGCCCGCCCTGAGTTTCGTTGCCACCTCTGCGAGCCTGATGAAAGCCCCACTCATCCCAGCCCTTCAGGACGGGGACCCTGGAGCCAGGGCTCTCAGAAGTGCTGCTTGACACCCGCGCCCGGAACTCCGAGTCCCGACTGCTCTCTGCCCTGGGCCCCCCTGCGGTCTGGGTGGGGCGCAGATCCCAGGCCACCGGCTGCCAGAGGGGACGCAGGGGGAGGCCCGGCCTGCGAACTGACAGGGTCCGGGGCAAGGACCTGGCCTCCATCGCTGGCTGGAAGTGAAAAGGGCCGGAGGAGGGGACATGTACCGCACTGACGGTTCAGTTCCTGAAACCATGTTTTAACCATTAACTCACTTTCTCAGAGACTTGGTCTGTGCAAAATGAAAACTTGTTTTGAGCGGGGGTCTCACCATGTATTCCAGGCTGGTCTCAACTCACTGCATAGCACAGGCCAGTGTCAAACTCCAGGCAATCCTCCTGCCTCAGCCTCCCGGGTGCTGAGATTATAGGCCTGTGGTGCCATGCTTGGCTTCTATTATTCTGCCTTACCAGAGCAGCCTCCCTTACACTGGAACATCCCTGGATTACTTATGTTACCTCATCCAAGGCCAGTGCAATGGAAAGAATTGTTACCCAGGCCAGTTTAAGGGTTCGTGTACATGTGTATTGTTTAAGATTCAGTACAGCCGTGACCTGTTTCAATTGCTTTCCATCAGAGGTTGGTTGTGTCCGCCCAGGGACAACTGTATCCTTGTTATAAATTGAACACATATCCCACTGCTCAGAAGTAGAAAGAGACCATAAAACAATAAGGGATTTAAATAAAGAGGTGTGGCCGGGAGCCACTCTGATCACAGGGCAGGCAGTTACCTATACAAAGGGACAGAGACAGGTGGCACTCACCTGAGACTGGCCCTGCAGGGCTGGACGACAAGGGGAGGAGCTTTGTTCTGGGCGGGGGGGGGGGACTTGGCCCCATAGATAAGTAGCTGGGCATGGCGGTGCATGCTTGTAATTCCAGCCCTTGGGAGGCTGAGGCAGGATTGCCACAAATTCAAGGCCAGCCTGGGCTATGTAGCAAGACCTTGTTTCAAAAAACAAACAAAGAAAACCATGTCCAGCTCTCACGTTCAATAATATTTGTGGATTTTGGGGTCCACTGGTCAATGTATCTTCCTAGAGCCTTTCTACTTAGAGAGTTAGGGATCGTGGGTCCAGAATGCCTTTTTCTAGGCACTGCTATTCTTTGAGCTTCAGAATCCCAGTGTCAGCATTTGCTGCCCGCTCTTCACCACCCAGAAAGGGACTCCCCACATTTTTGAGCTGTGAAACCCTGGGTAGACTGGGGACACGTATGAGTACCTCCTCAGAATAAGCCATTTAAAAGACCTGGGATTATGATTTTAAATAAAAGCAATAAAAATATAAAAGAAGTCAGATGTTGTGGTACATACCTATAAACCCAGATACTCAGGAGGCTGAGGCAGGAGGATCTCAAGTTTGAGCCCAGTGTGGGCAATTTAGCAAGACTGTATCTCAAAGGAAAAAAGTGAAAAGGGCTGGGGTTGTAGCTTGTGGTAGAGCTAAATAAATAAGAATCTCTTGCTGGGCATGGTGACTTTGAGGCACATCTGTAATTTCAGTCCTTCGGAGGCTGAGGTGAAAGAATCACCTTGAGTTCCAGGCCAGCCTGAACTACATATCGAGACCTGGCCTCGAAGAACATAAATAAAGAGTCTCTCAAATATATGTAAAAGAAACCCACACTTGAGGTGTAGTGGCTAAAAGGCTCTTTATGAATGTGTTAAATAATGAGCACCAGCAACAGTTCTAACTTAGATTCTTCTTTTCATATCTTACAGTATTTATTGAGTCACATTTATAGAAAGTTTACACCTATAGAAAGTATGCACCTATAGAGAGTATGCACTTATAGAAAGTAAGTTTTTCTGAGGAAATGATAGTAATGTATGAAGTTCTGTGCACAAGTTTCTTCTTTTCAGTGTTCTTCTGTGGGGTGGGGAGGTCTCACTATGTAGCCCAGGCTGGCCTCAGACTTTTGTCCATCCTCCCGCCTCAGCCTCCCGAGCGCCGGGACTACAGGCATGCGCCCCCATGCCCAGCCCTTCAATATAAATTTGTGCTCTTGAATTGGGATGAGCAAAACTGCATTCCAAGATTTCAGTCCCACCTGTAATGTAATAAGACACCTGTGGTTTCCACCGGCGACTCAGTCCAGGCTGCCGATCTTCTCTCTGGGCTCTCCTCCTCTGCTTTCATCATGCAAGGAAATACTCATTTCACCAAGATTAGGTGAAATGAAAGCCTGGTCTTCCCTCCATTCAAGTTCAAGGATCCATGGACTCCATCTGTAGATTCCACACCATTATAGTTAAGAGTTTATTGGCCGGGTGTGGTGGAGCATGCCTGCGATCCCAGCACTCTGGGAGGCCGAGGCAGGAGGATCGCCACAAGTTCCGGGCCAACCTGAGCTGCACAGTGACATCCTGTCTTTCGAGACAGAGCTTACTTTAATGCTTAGCACAGAGCCAGTGCCCTAGAAAGGGTGAACTGGTTCATTCCTCCTAGCGACCTGCTTCTTACAGTGTTTGGTGCTGAATGGGGTAAAGCGTCTGCTGATTTGGGGGTTTGTGCTCGAGGTCTCTGAATTTTTCCAGGGCACCATTCCCAATAAGAAACAGGAGAGAGCCTGGTGGAAGGAACTCCTGTGCACCCACGCCCCAGCTTCAGTGATTATCAGCACATGGCCAATCTTGGGTCATTTATACCCCCTGGGCCAAGGGACTTACTTTTTTGTTTGTTTGCAGTCCTAGGGGAGGGAACTCAGGGCCTTGCGCATGCCAGGTGAGTGCTCTGCCACCGAGCTGCACATCCAGCTGTTTTTCTTCTTCATTTTGAGATAGGATCTCGCTAAATTGCCCAGGCTGGGCTTGAACTTGTGATCCTCCTGCCTCAGCCTCCTAGAGCGCCAGGATCAAAGACACACACCACCATGCCGCCCGGCTCCCAGTGGTTGGTTTTGTGCAAACACTGTGTCATTGCATCTGTAAATAGTTTAGCGTGTTATCTTCAAAGGATGAGAAAGACTTTAAAAACCATACAACATAATACTGCTTTGGACATCCCCAAAAGATAATGATTGCATAGTTTTATGAAATATTCAGGTAATACTCAACATTCCCTGACTGTCTCCTTTATCTCTATTATTAGATTTATACCAGTCTAGATGCAAACCAGGAAGCCAGATGTGATTGCGCACACCTTTGATCCTAGCACTCTAGGAGGCTGAGGTAGGAAGGTTGCAAAGTTGAGACCAGCCTGGGTAACTTAGCAACCTAAAGAGAAACTATCCCCCCACCCTGTTCCTCCTCCTCTTTTGAAACAGGGTCTCACTATGTGGTTCAGGCTGGCTTTGAACCTAATATGTTGCACAAACTGGCCTCAAACCCGCAGAGATCCTCCTGCCTCAGGCTCCTAAATGCTGTGATTATGGGCGTGGGCCACCACAACTGGCTACAAGAATCTATTTTAAAAGAAAAGAGGAGCTGGGGATAGAGCTCCGTGTGAAGGTCCTAGATTCCACCCCCAGTATTAAAAACAAACATATAAAAAAGCGCAAACAGTGTGCTTAAATTGTACTTGATTATATGTCTCTTCGATCTACCTGTCTTTTCTTTTTACTTGAAGAAAATAATGGAAACAATGGGACCATTGGTTGACAATGATTCTAAGAGCCGCATTCACAATGGCTCTTGTCGTCTGCACTCCCCACGGTACCGTTTGTCATGTTCCTCTGTCCTCTGGGCTTGCCCGGACGAGGATCGGAGAGATGCTCTGTTCCACGTTATCCACACGAGGTCAGAACAACGTCTCTTCTCCTTCGAGGCTTGCTGAGTCATCTATGATTGCATCCCTTTGTAAACGGGGATATTTCAGCGCTTTCTTCTTTTTAACATCACCATCACCGTCATCATCTGTGCAGCACTGGGGATAGACACCAGGGAGAGCTAAGCAGTAGCCCCTTCCTCTTTTTAAAAAACCTTTTAAAATAAGTCTTGCTAAACTGCCCAGACTGGCTCAAACCTGCAGTCCTCCTGCCTCAGCCTCCCAGATAGTTAGTACTACAGGCTCGAGCTGCCCTGCCTGGCCCATTTCCCCTTCACTCATTAGACTGGATGCTCCCTCACTGCCCAAGAAGACTCCACACCCTTTAAAACCAAGGCTTCAGGAGCCCATCTCCCTTACCTACACCTTTCGCCTTTCTGAGTTATGTGTCTCTTCTGCTGCGTTGACACCTTGTATATATTAAACGGCATTAAGATGGAAATTGAAAAAGGATAACCTGGAAAAATAAATGTGCACAGAAGTTCTTTTCTGCCACGGGGGCTGTCTGTCCATGCTTGGACCCCTTAAAACTGTGACCAGCCAGGACTCCCCTTGCCGAGCAAGCGAAAGAGGGGTTCCTGCGGTCTGACCCGCCACCATCTGGCTTGGGGGGTCAGGAAGACTTCTGCCCACACCTCTGTCCTTCTGGGAGGTCCTAGCGATGATATTTATAGACCGGAAACGGAAGGAAGGAATGCAGGAAGGGAATTCCTTCTTCCCTCCCTCCCTCCCTCCCTCCCTCCTCTCTCTCTCTTTCTTT